AGAGAAACATTACTATATAGTGTGATATTCTATGTTGACAATAAGAACCTTATTGACTCATGTTATTGAATTAAAATAAAATCCTAATGTTAATAAAGTGTTTATATTTCATAGGAAGAGACGAATGATGCTACAGATATTAATAGAGTAATACTTTAATAACATTGTTGCTACCAACCACACCCAGTAATATATATCACCCATCCTTTAAATAGAATTAAACTGTTAACTAGATACTCACACATGGGGATGCATGCAGGAGTTCAATGGAGATCCTTGTTCCAATACTGCTGCTGGAGAGAAAGGAGCCCAGGCAGCTTCACACTGAATGTAGTCATATCTGTATTGGGAGCCAGGGGTTCCCTCAAACATGGAAAAGACCTAGCTGAACTGAGAAATTTAGACTTGGACATATTGGCCTAAGCTGACTATTCTGGCAGAAACCAAGCTTGACTTTCCTGGAGCTGGGATAAGTTGACCTGGGCCCTAGCAATTGTCAAGACCTGCTCTATGTACCTCTCCTTTAGCCATCATGGCTGCTAAGGAAACTGTGGCCCAGTAGATTTGGCACTAGCCCCCATCCTAGAATGCCTTAACCACATCCTGGACATGGAGGTCAGTTCAGTTTCCATAATAATGTTGGCACACAACTTGGTTTATAAACAGAAATGATAACAAGACCTTGCACAAATAAGTAAACATGCCTGATATTTTGCCACTCATCAGACCTAAATCTCAATTTAAATTCCCCATGTATATCGTTCTAATGATCTCATAAAATTTTCATCCATAACATGTGGATCAATGCCAGGTCACCAGAGCACCATGCTCAAATATCATGAATCAATCTCATAGAAACAACCATTTCCGAGCTTGTCTCAAGTTGACACAATGTTGTTTGACAATCCACCACACCCCCTCCCTACCTGATCTTCCTCCTCAATAAAAATTCAACGTGTGCTCCTCCTTCTTTTCTCTTCATTCTCCCTGGTTGTAACATTACATTTTGGTAGTATTCTATATATTTTATTATGTATCAGAATCAGTCAAGCACTGTTATGTTGGTAGGATTTTTTATAGATCTCTTGAAGGAGAATTTTGCTCTGATTCTGAATTAAAATCAGATTGCATTGTTGATGGATATTATTTTGAAGGTTTATAATCAGATGAAATTGATATATATAACATAGATGAAGGCAGATTTATTTAGGTTCCTCCTAAGCAAAGAAGTTTGGAGACCTCCCACAATGAAGGCTAGGCAAATGTTCCGACTCTCTTACTACACTGTCCATTCTTCTCAGGCTAATCTGCTCTAATAATTTCTTGTTACATTGGAATTTTAAGATATATTATTTCCCCATTGTTCCAGTCTCAGATATGGTTGTAATTGTTGAAATATTCAACTAGTAAAAAAAATGCTACAATTTAACCTTTTTAGTTTGACAACCTGAAGAAACAGTTTTTTCGGTTAAATTAAAATAAAATTTAATCAGCCAGATTTTATCTCAAAATTCACTGCTAATGTACATTTTTCTAGGCTAACCAAATATATAATTAAAATGATGTTTTTATAAAATGCTGTTGTAATACATTTTAATTATTTTGAAAATTGAGCAATCCACAATTAAAATTATATTAAAAAAAGATACATATATTGGATTTATAATTATTTTATTGTTCCAATATTTCGAGGGGCAACTCGCCTCTCTTTATCGAGGATGTTTGTGTTTTTCACTGTTTGAGTGAAAAACACAAACATCCTCGATAAAGAGAGGAGAGTTACGCCTCAAAATATTGGAACAATAAAATAATTATAAATGTATCTTTTTTTAATATAATTTTAATTAATAATGTATATTGTGATACCAATGAGACTTCTTTTTGCAAATGTGTTTGTGATTTAACTTTTATTGATGAATAAAATTGCATTAATATATTATTGAAACAAAGGAAAAATTACAAATGCTCTTTTAATCCAAGTGAATATATGCAATGAAAAGAAAGAGAATAAATTTAGAAAATAAAGAAAAGGCTAAAAAATGTATTCACAAAATCTATATATTTACAAAAAATCTTTTATTGCTGTTTGAACACTTTTTAGTGTGCATTCTAACTGAAAAATCTTCAAAAGGCATCCATTTTTTTTCTTCCTCTGCAAGTTATTTCAAGAAGCAGAATCTTACTCTTTTAGACACATTGTTTATGCTGGTAACTACCAGGCGCTTAAGTTACGCCTAAATTGTACAGAAGGAAGCAAAAAGCATGCGTGATGTCTGCCTCAATATTTGTGATGCATTTAACACGTTTCAGCAAGGAGTAATGCACTAACTAGGGCGACAGTTCCTTATGTCCCAAAGTATTGTATTTATATGTTGCATTATGTTAAAATTTTATTTAAACTATAATTATCAAAATTTCTTCCTTCTTCTTCTTTCTTATCTCCACTCAATCATATTTGGGTATCAAGCTTGTTTGACAACCATCATGGCACTGTGAAGTAGAATGTGTCTGCCTTTGTCATTAAGACTGGTAGCACTACTCAGTGGCAGGATGACTTAGCTCTAAAAGAAATGGCCGCCTCTGACATGAGGAACAGATGCCATGTGCAGCCGCTCCTAACAGGGAGTACAAACGCTGCTCATCCGGTATCCCTGGATTTGGAGCCCTTACAGGGTACTATCAGCTGAGCCCAGGTTTTATAGCGAGCTTGTTACTGCTCCTCCTCCTCCTCCTTTTTCATCCAGGCTTGGGACGGCAAAGGCGGAGTTATATAAATTTGTTTATATTTGATTAAAAATATCTGTTGTAAATTATCATTTGGTCAAATTAACATTGGTTATTTGATAGGTTGGATGTTGAGGCATTAAAACATGTTCAAATTATTGTCAGTGTCAAATTATCCTATGTTGAATCAATGCTGTTATACTTAATATATATATTGCTTTGTTTAAATCCAGACTATAAAATAAAATACTGTTATCCTCACTAGTTCAACAATCGATCATAAACTACCTTGATCAGACTGAAACAACAGTGAAATAATATATAATAATATCACTACAAAACTATGAAAATTAGTCTTTGAAATTTGTTCCCAAAAATAATAGATAAAAAATGGTATTACTAGAAAGATAGAAAAATACCCAAGGCTATATACATTTTATAAAATTTGACCCTAAAAAAACCACAACAGTCCGCCTAGACAGTGCTATGGAATCAGAAATCTACATCGTGAGTTTGAATCATGAATCTGTTTGAAGAAATGTTCAGCATAAAGATATAATGCTCTTTTTTAATAAAGTGTTTTCACTTATATAATAAAATCACCTCATTATTGGTCATATATATACAAAGGGGATCAATAAATAAGGTGAATTGTCTTATTTCTTAAAAATTAAAAAAGCAAAAATAATTCAAACCACAGAATATTAAAATATAACATCGAGAGACTATTTAAGGTGTTCTGTTCTTTTTTCCCACGCGCGGCGTGAGACTTATAAATAAACTAAAATGGAAGCTCCCTTGAAGGATTGCACCACGCTTGAACAACGTGCAGTTATTCGTTTCTTGAATGCAGAAGGTATTCAAACATCTCAAATATGCCAAAGAATGAAAAATATCTATGGTGAGTCTTGTTTGTCTCAAAAAAACATTTATAAATGGGTTAACGAGTTCAAAAATGGACAATTTACATGTTCCTCAGGTCTCAACGTTCGGCCGGTAAAGTTTTGTTAACAATTTTTTGGGATGTTGATGGACCAATCTGTCTTTATTTTTTATCCTCAAGGCAACGTATGAACAGCAACCTTTATTGTGACATTCTTGTAAATAAGCTAAAGCCCGGTATAAGAAACAAAAGAAGAGGGAAGCTTAGTAAAGGTGTTCTCTTCCTTCATGATAATGCAAGGCCGCATACATCATGTAAAACTGTATCTACAATCATTAAATTAGGTTTTGAAGTTTTAGAACATCCTGCATATAGTCCAGATCTAGCCCCCTCTGACTATTTCCTTTTTGGACTACTAAAGAAGGAGTTAAAGGGAAAGCAATTTGACTCGAGTGAAGATGTCCAGAAAGTGGTGCAAGATTTTTTTCACACGCTTCCTAAGAGTGCCTATAAAGAGGGTATTTACAAGTTGCCAGAACGATGGAGACGATGTATAGAAAACCAAGGTGATTATTTTGAATAAATCAAGTCCTAATTTTTAATATCGTTCTTATTTTTTTAAATAAATTATAATTCACCTTATTTATTGATCCCACCTTGTATATTTGTGCCCTATGTTTTTTCAATATTTTATCAATCTGGCTCAAATTTAACAGGATATAGAGTTATATCAGGAAGAAGTTTTTATTATATTTTCAACTAAGTAGAATTCAAATACTCTGGGCAAACTTACTTTTTATTGTCAGAAAATGATAATATTGCTGCATCATTTTTGATGGCTAGTAACAAGGTTCTTTTGGCGAACATTCACTCGAGCAGAACACAGGCAAAGCCAGGTCGTATAATATATATTTATATAAAAGTATGGTTCTTATACAAAGGATAATTTCACTCTTTTCACCTCATTAAGACTATTAATTAGAAAGTTCATATATTTAACAAGTAGGTGTATAAATAAAGAATGTTGAAAATTAGGCATTTGAACTAATTACTAACTCATTTTGTAATAGCTACAAGAAATTAAGACCTAATCCAAATAAATTGTGTGAAATTTCGGTAATAGCATTGTAACCATCATCAGACTAAAGAATAAATGAAGAAAAAAAAACATTTATTCTTTTGTCTGTGATGGTAACAATGCTGTTACTTAAAACATCACACACTATTAATTTATTTGGATTAGGTCTTAATTTCTTGTAGCTATAATTTATAATCCAAATTGTGCTTATCATAATTTTGTGATAGGAAAAAAGAATGACGATGATATATTAATGATTTTTTTATTACAGTAGAACCTCCCTTTAGGTGGACACCAGGCTAGAAGACACCTCTCTACAAAGGACAGTTTTCATTTGCAAAATTGCCATTTTTGCAATTTAGCAACCCTCCAGGTGGTCACCCTCCCAAGTACTGACCGGGCCCGACATTGCTTAACTTCGGTGATCGGACGAGAACTGGTGTTTTCAATGTGGTATGGCTGTAGCCAAACCATGGCAATAGTGAACTGTGACTATAGTGAACCAAAGGTTCTGTTCCATCAGGGTTTGTCTCTGCAATTAGGTGTTCTTTACAAGGAAGTAGTTCTACTGTACTACTGATAAGATACAATTGTTACAATATAATGCTTCTCTCTGGTAAATAAATTTGATATAGTTATATACAATAAATTTAATATTGAAGAAAAAATATCTGTCAATATGTGAAGCTTTCTGCTCAGTAGCCAATCAAAATATTCCTGACAGTCAGTCTTCAAGTGGTGAACACTTATCGAAGAACACCATTTAATTATTGTGAAATGAAAGCCTATCTTCAACTTGGATGCATGGTTTGTCCTGAAAAATATAAGCCAAATTCTGGCAAGTATACCCGAAAAGATACATCTTATGAATTTGATATCTGCCAAGTTCAGCTATTATTTTAAAATTTACCATACAAAAAAAGAATATTGGGGGCCAAAAATTGTTTTAAAAATATATTGTAAAATATGCCTCATTTGTAAAAAATAAATTTTATCATATAGAGAGGGATGTTTTCAATATTTTCACTTAAAGATTAGGAAAGACAAACCTCAGAATGACAGGGCAATTTATTTAGAGGTAACACAAAATTAAAATTTATAAAATAGTAGAGAGGCAAAGAGGGAAGTTTATAGTGTAGCAAAATATAAATATCAAAATTAATAATCAGTATAAAATAATAGTTTTTTTTTTTCTCATTCCTAGTACACGTGGTACAGGCCATGATAATCATGGTGGGTAGAAGTAGGCGACTGCTTTTACCGTAAGTGCACCACATGTCTACACATGTGAAAAGCAGTTCGACTTTGCACTTACAAATGTGCCATAGCCCCGTTTGGTTGCTTACACTCGCTGGTGGGGTTGGACTTTTGCAAGAATCGGGGGACATTGGAGCATTTTTTTTTTTTCTTTTCTAATTAGAAAAAAAGTGCCCAATGCGGGAATCGAACCCGGGTCGCAGCAGTCGAAAACCAACGGTTTAGACCATCCTTCCAAAGACCCCCCAGGTAATAGCCTACAGCACCTGGTGTTCCCAGGTGGTCACCCTCCCAAGTACTGACCGGGCCCGACTTTGCTTAACTTCGGTGATCGGACGAGAACTGGTGTTTTCAATGTGGTATGGCTGTAGCCAAACCATGGCAATAGTGAACTGTGACTATAGTGAACCAAAGGTTCTGTTCCATCAGGGTTCATTAAAGAGGGGTTTTACTCTACGTATGTATTTGGAATCTTATATCCCAATTACCTCTCTCTATCCTAGATGGTCAATCTGGAAGCCATGTCCACAATCTGTGAATATAATCCTTGGAGTCGTTTGTTCTTGAATAATACAACACTGCTGCCCATTTCAATTCTAAAATATCTTCAAATATATGTGCTTATCAAGAATTTTAAAAATGTATATTTTTAAAGATATGTAAATTTATTATTGAAATTCCAACTAGCCACGAAATAAATAAGAAACATATTTTTAATAGATCTTAATCTTTTGAATCTTGATATGAACGTTTTCTTTAATTAATTCTTAAAAATTTTACTTATACTTTAATTTATATGTTCGGAAAATTTATATATTTTATCTTAAACACAAGGTATTAAGTTCAAATCCTAATAAATAAATAGTGTATGACATGTTGGTAACAGTGTTATTACCATCATCAGACAAGACAGTAAGTACTTTTGTCTGATGATAACAATAATGTTAGCGGAATGTTACACACTATTTATTTGGATTAGGTCTTTTACCTTGTGTTTATAATCTATAATCCAAATTGTGCCTTATATTTAATCTTGGCCATACAAGACCGCTCCTCTTCCTGGATAGTGTAAAGACCTTCCCACGATGCACCATCTGCAGGAACAGAGAGGCCTCACCTCTTGGAATGCATAGGAGCTTCAAGACAGGATCTATATTCCACAACCCTACTAAGATTATAAATTTAATATATGAATTTAGTCTCCATGACCTTGTAAACAATAGGATAATACTAATATTATTAGGTGCAAATACTTCGAACCTTGTTGGATAAAAATTACTTTCTTTTAAATATGCTGAAATAGTTGGTCTGCTGTCTCATACCAGTTGTGCATGCAGGAAGTGACCAGAGCTGCTGCAACAAATGAGGAATTCCTACAGAGCACTAGTTGTGCATGCAGGAAGTGACCAGAGCTGCCGCAACAAATGAGGAATTCCTACAGAGCACCAGTTGTGCATGCAGGAAGTGACCAGAGCTGCCTCAACAAATGAGGAATTCCTACAGAGCACCAGTTGTGCATGCAGGAAGTGACCAGAGCTGCCCCAACAAATGAAGAATTCCTATAGACCTGGCAGAATCACAAGATAGAACAATGTTCCTACCATTGCTCGAACAGCTGGAATTGTTGAAGGCTTGATTTTTGAAGGTGGATATCCATGCTTCCACTTTGAACTCTTCTCAGTTCATGGAAAGTTTTCTGCACATTCCTGAGAAGATTTAGAGGGATAGGAAACATTCTGTTCTAATCAATTTTGCAGAAGAAAATCATTACATTGTGAAACTTGCTGTCCATGAGAAGATACCTTCTTTAGAACATTGAGCCCGTAGGATGTGGATCCACGTCCAAGCAATATAAGCCTAAAGCCCACAGGACGTGGATCCACGTCCTGAAACTTCAAAATTCAATATAAAATCGTGGCATAATTCACGTTCTTCGGGCTTCTGCCATCAAATAGCTGCATCATTTGCCTATGTAAGTGCTCAAGGTCACACGCGGGGGAGGGTGAAAGGGGCCCCATTAGGGGATTTTTCCATGACGTCACTTCTGCTCACGTTTCCTCCTCCTGCCGCTAGCTTCCTGGACGGTTGTTATTTTATTTATTGCCTTTTTTTTTTGCGTTCGCTTCTAAAATGGATCTTGATCAACCCAGGTACCCCAGGAATAGCTCCAATTACAGAACCTGAGGAGTTTGGTGATGAATATTTTCAAGATTCTGGTTCAGAATTGGATGATTCTGTTAATGATCCAGATTTTGTTTTGGATGAATATGATTCAGATGCATCTGAAATTTATTTTGAGGAAGATGTTGCTCATGCCAAAAAAATCACTTCTCAGGATGGAGAATGGACCGAGGTCAGTGACCCTTTCCTAAACCTTCTTTTTCTTCTCCTCACGCTCCAAATAGTGCCTATTTTCCCGACACTTCTCCCTATTCAGTATTCAAGTTATTTTTTGATGAAGAGTTTTTCAGAAACGTAAAACTTGAAACTAATAAGTATGCAAGAGCAAATATCGATAGGGAAAGGAAAAAAGGGCCCTTGAGCCCTAGAGGTTTTTTGGATAAATGAAAAGCCATTTCGGTTGGTGAACAAAAACTATTTTGCCATTATAATACATATGAGCCTTGTTGTGAAGCCAAGGCTAAGAGATTATTGGTCAACTCACATAGGCATCAAATCATCTTTCTGCAAATCAACAGGCATGAAAAGGGAAAGGTTTAAAGCCATTCTTTCTATGCTGCATCTCAATGACAATGCAACTTACATTGCCTATGGACAACCTGGATATGACCCTCTTCACAAATTACGGACATTTTTCGACCCTCTCGTTAATAAATTCAAAAATGTTTACCAACCAGATGTGTAGCTTACCATTTATGAGGCTATATGCCCATTTCATGGGAGAACCCATTTCAGAGTGTACATCAAAGGAAAGCCTCTCAAATATGGAATAAAAATGTACCAATTGTGTGAGGCCAGCACTGGATACACGTGCAATATTGATGTGTATACAGGAAAACACCCTGATAAAGCTGCAGAGTACAACTCCATAATGAGTTTGGTTGGAAGATTGGCTGAATCAAATTTTGAAAAGGGGCATATTATTTACTTTGACCGCTGGTTTTCTTCTCCACAACTGTTTGAACACTTATGGAGCAAGAACACTATTGCTGTTGGTACAGTAATGCAAAATAGAAAAGGCTTGCCAAAAAAGGCTTTTTCTAAAAAACTCAAAAAAGGTGAAGCCATCATCCGACAAAAAGGACCCCTTCTTGCAATGAAATGGCGGGACACCAGAGAGGTATTTATGCTCTCTACAAATCAAGAGGCAGAAATGATTCAGGCACCTAAAAGATCTAAAAGAACTCCAGAACCAGAGCTAACAATGAAACCAGCAGTGGTTGTTGATTACAACAAAAATAAAGCTGATGTTGATCGAAGTGATCAATACATGTCCTATTACCCTTTCTATCGTAGGACAATGAAGTGGTGAAAAAAGGTATTTTCCACCTTTTCAACCTTCGTATCGTAAATTCACAAATTATTCACAATAAATTGAACCAGGAAAATAAATTGAACCTAAGAGAATTCAATTTGAGAATTTTAGAAAAGTTAGTTGAAGAGGCAGGTGTTGAAATGTTGGATGAGCAGCAAGGTGCTTCTGGTTCCCCAGATATGCTTTTGGGGAAGCATTTCATAACCAGAATCAAAGTGGAAGGAAAAGAAGGCACATATATTCAGAGAAAATGTAAAGTCTGTTCCGAAAAAGGAAAAAGAAAAACAGGAAATAGAGCAAGGAAGGATACTGCATATATGTGTGAGACCTGTTTGGTCCCACTTTGTCTAGTTAACTGCTTCAAGATTTACAACACCAAAGAAATTTTTGGGCTTAATCTCAATATTATTTGACTTCTTTATTTTATTTCCCTACATATTTTTCATTTTCTTTATCTAGATATGCTATATACATATATTTTTGCAACCATATATTATGGAGTGAATTCGATTTTTTTTGTATATTTTCACCTATTTTATATGTCTCATATTAATTTTTTAACCATTTATAAAAAATAATTTGCAGTCTTATAAGTTACTAGAAAGAGTATATAAGTAGTTTCAAATAAAATAATTATTGTAAGTCGTCAATTTTGGGATTTATGAATTTTTTAACAACACTCAAAAAAGCGTGTCCCAGCGGAATTTGCC